AAACCTGGCTGGAGAACCTAAACCGAACCTGGCTGGAGAACCTAGCAAGAGAACATGGACACAGAACTTGGCTGGAGATTGTGGCTAGAGATCCTGGCAAGGCTGTTGATCAACTGAATGCTGTCTCCGTGTCATTCCTTCTTCGCCAACTCCGTCCACACCTTTGGGGACCCCTGGACCTGCTGGGGTTGGACCCCAGCACCTATTATTTTATCAGATTGGCAAAAATATATTTTTTGGTGTACTATAAAAGTTTAGTAATTAGTTTCTTTGTGCAATGACATGAAAAATGGTTTTTAATTGGGAACAATTTGTGGCCCCTCTCCCACCTTTACCTTCCCAGGGGCCCAAGTCAGTGTCTGACATATAGCTGGTACACACTAAGTATTTATTAAAATAGGTCAATAAATGCATACTAAAATTAGATGTCATCACCCTCATTTTTAAAGATACAAATTGAGATTCCAAGAGATTAATTCCCTTGTATGAGGTCCTAGTTGACTAGACTGAGAATCAGGTCCAATTATAATGCCAAGATAATTTCTACACACTATTTTGCTTATCTATTGTGAAAGGTGTTGCATCTGAATGAAATAAACATTTCCTTAAGTATTAGCCATAGTGCATCCTTACTCCACCCGTTCTCTTTCTTGGCTTCCTGGCTTATATTAAAGCAGATTGTCTTCTGTCTTTGATGAATCAGGATTTAAGTTAATCAAGCCTTTGAGCAGACTGACCTGATGGAGCCGTTCATCCTGGAGGGGTATCTAGAAAGATAAATGCATTAAGAATTTCTTACAAGGTATTTTTGGTTTGGTTTGATTTTTAAATTATTTACTTATTTTAAAAAACTTTTCCAGGGGAAAAGCGTCATGGCCATGAATGTGATCAGTATTTTGGCTGCAGTGGCTGGGATCACTCTCACCATTATCAGCTTTCAATATCAGCACCATTACTGCAAGATGCCTTCCATCGAAGGAATATGTGTTATAGGTAGAGTCCTTCACAATGTAAGTGGTTTCATTCTCTACAATGAATCTGTATAATCTTATCTGAGCTATAGTCATGCATCAATTCACTAATTTTTATTTCAATAATTGATGATGTATCTACATTTGAACTGAATGCTGAAAACCATATTGTGATTTAACAGCCACAGTGTTTGGATTTGAAATCCTGATTTTGTCACTGATAAGCTTGTGACCTTGGCCTAACATTTTGTCTTCTCTGAGCTTCAGTTTTCCTCATGTGGAAAATGAAGACCATAAGAATGCCTACCTCATCGGGTTGTTGAGAGGATTACTTAAATTATAATACTATCTGGTACAGTGTAGTCAATAAGTTCTAGCTATTACCATTAAGGTTGACATGGATTGGATTAAAATTTATCTTTTCAGCATTAATAAGGAACAGAATGATCTAAAATGTTTACTCAGTATTAAAACCAAAATGCAGTAGGAGAAGGTATTTAAGTCACTTAGTAAAGCATGTTAATAATTTTAGAAATAATTTTATATAAATGTAGCAATGTTATTCATTAAAGCAGGTGAGAGGTATCTTTACTAGGAAATAGAACTGTAGGTTTACTTTTACATATTTATCTAAAAGGCATCCAATGGGATTATTTTTATGCATGTAAATAATTCCAAAAGGCATTTCTTTCTACTTCCCCAAGCAAATCCTGGGGTTTTATTTTATTTAAGCCACATCTTAATGGCTTTGATCTTATATTGTTAATGAGATTTGACCCATTTGGGTGGAAGTGAAGTGAAATCATGAGAAACTGTCTCCCCTAATGAAGAAGGAAAGGAAAAAGAGCTATCAGTTACTCAATGTGAGATCTTATTTAATCCTCATAATCACTCATTAAAGTGAGTCTCAGGGTGTTCCCATATGTTCTGAGATAAATTCCAGACTTAAACTTATAAAAGGTTATTAAGGAAAGCAAGGGACAAAACCTGGTCCTAATTAGGCCAACAATATTATTTGGCATTATAATTCGTACCCTTTTCCTAGTGAACAGAATGCCACTACTATACATTACTTTAGTATAAACCAGGAAGAAATGTATACTGGAAGGGTTAAGTCCCCATATAAATGAAACTCTGCTGCCTACTTGCCCACGTGGTCTGGCATTGCAGGCTTAATCTCTGAATATAGAACCATGGAGGATTTCTTCCAAGACCTCCCTTGTATAAATTCACTATTCCTTGCTGTAACCTTCACATCATAAACTAAAAATGCCAGAACAGTGGACTGTAGACAACTCTTGGACTGACCTCTGTTGCAAAGACTATCCATTGTCTACACTGAAGCCAGTCATCACTTTGAAAGGCAAATCTGAGGACATAAGTCAATGGCTTCCAGTAAACATAGAATTAAGATCCCAATCTTAAAAGGTTTGTAGGACCCTGTAGAACCTATCCTGCCTACTTTCTTGACATTATTTCAGGACTTTATCTTTCTTACTCTATTCTCTTGCCACTTTCTGAAAATTCCTTATTGTGTCAAGTACTCACTGCCCCAGGACCATAAGATCAGCTTTTTCTTGCTTCAAATGTTTCCCAGCCCAGTGCCTACCCTTTTCCACCTACTCAATGAACTCCTCCTGATTCTTTAATTTCAGTATAACATCACTTTTTAAAGGAGGTCCTTCCTGATTGCACCTCTACCCTCAATGCAGACCTGGTCAGATCTCCTGTGATAACTGTGCACAGCTCCCAATACTTTTTCATAGCACGTAACACAATTTAGTTAAGTAAATAATTACCTAATTATTTTTTACTGTCTGCTTTCCTTATTATGACAAAGTTCCACAAAGACCAAAAACAGGTATCTCATTCAACAGCTGACGCCAGTAAATTCACAGTAGGTACTTCACACCTATTGGTTTATCAACAAATGGGTTATATCCAAGCTTTTGAATATGTTGAAGAAAAATCAAGATTCATATAAACTCAGTCACCGTCCAAGGTTAAGTGTAACCTTGGACCCAATTGCACCCTACTGTTTTTGTTCCCAGTGTCTAAGCTTTTTGAAAACCATGGTATTCCGTGCTGCTTCTTGAAGCAGAGTGTGCAAAATAGCAATCGTCAGACTATATTCAGGCTGAAGATATGTTTTAGTTGATTTACACAAGTAAATAAATAACTGCAAAATTTCACATAAAAATATGTATATCCAGCTTCCCTGGGAAAGAAAAATGGCAAGGCATCATGGAACCCATATTCCCACATGGTAACTATTGCCTAGAACTGAGTAATGTATGAATCTTAGAAATACCTTTACTCTCTACCATCTCCCCTCCTGTTTCACTCTTTTAAGATGGTTGCCTCTATATGCATTGGAGTTAGTTCCCCCTCCTTATCAGGAAGATACAAGATGAAAACTGTTCAATCACTGATGGCTACAGACACATATAAAATATAGGTTTTGCTTTACCTGGTCATACAGTGTAAGTGGTCCTTGGCTTAGATCTTTAGAGCAATGTTCTCAGATGCTGAACTAAAACTTTCCACTTTAGGAAAAGCTTAAAAATGAAGGCTCACTCCACCCTTTGAGACAACTATGCTTTATTTTCTTGCTCTATCTACTATCCCCAGTCATTCCAACATAGCTTCCTACCTGACTACCAAAATATATGAAAGACCAGGACTTACTAGGAACCCATATGACTGTAACATGAAGAACTTATACTTAGGTTATAAGGGTGTGTGAGGCAATTCCCTCATCAGAGATAAAGCAGAATAATTTAACAGTGATACTAATATAATCTATAATAATCATTAGAGCTAATACTTACTGAACACTCTGTCAGTCATTGTTATAATCAGCATCAACTTACTCAATCTTAACAAAACTATTAGAACACCTTTATTTTACATATAAAAGAGCTAAAGCACAAAGAGTCACTTCTCCAGAATCCTATAACATCAGGCTTTGGACTCAAGTAATGTGGTTCCAGAGAGTGCTCCCTCAATCTCAGATCATAGTTCCAGGCCCTGTTTTAGGTGGTCCCCACCCTCTCTTTTTTTACATCAACTTTATAGAAGTATAATTTGAAACAATTAAAATGCACCAGTTTTAAGTATACCATTGAAGGAATTTTGACAAATTGTATATACCTGTTTAGCTAACATCACAATCAAGATGTAGAGTATTTCTGTCACCCAAGAAGTTTTCCTGCAATCTCTTTTGCAGTTAAATAGTCTCAAACTTCCTTCATACACCTGTAATTTTAAATAAGTACTCTCTGTGTCTGGCTTTTTTCACTCAGTAACATGTTATAAGATTCATCTATGCCATAGCATGTATCAATAGTTTGTTCCTTTCTTTAAAGATTTTTATTGATTTTCTTTTTTTTGGGGCAGGGGGTGGAGAGAGTGAGAGAAACATTGGCTGCATCCTGCACACCCCCTATCAAGAATCAAACCAGCAACCCCTGGTGTACTGGACAATGCCTAACCAATTGAGCCACAGTAGCTAAGGCTAGTTTGATCCTTTTATGTAAAGATATACCACAATCTGTTTACCCATTTACTTTTTGATAGGCATTTGAGTTACTGTCTTTGTGTGAACATATGTTTTCATGTATCTTGGTGTGTTGTCTCTAGGATTTGATTGCTAGGTCATATGGCAAGTGGATGTTTATTAAGAAAATGCCAAACAGTTCTTCAAACTGACTATACCATTTTGCATTCTTATCAGCAACATGAAAGGTGCAGCTGCTCCATATAATTAGCAGCATTTGACTTTTCAGTTGTATTAATAATATAGCCATTCTAGTGATTATGTAGTGTCCATAACTTTAATTTGCATTTCCCTGATGAAAAAAGATGATGAAACTATTTCTATGTACTTATTGTTCATTTATATATCCTTTTCAAATTTTTAGTCTTTTTTTAAATTTAAATTTTTTTAAAATTTAAATTCTTTACTGTTGAAAGTATTATGTATGTAGCTCCCTCCTTATTGAGCTCCCCCAGCCACTCCCATCCCCTAAGACATGGCCTCACTCCCCTACTGTCTGTGTCCATTGGTTATGCTTACATGCATGCATACAAGTCCTTTGGTTGTTCTCTTACCCATCCCACTCCCCTGACTTCCCTCTGAGGTTGGACAATCTGTTCAATGCTTCTATGTCTCTGGATTTATTTTTGTTAATCAGTTTATGTTGTTCATTGTATTCCACACATGAGTAAGATCATGTGATATTTTTCTTTCTCCAACTGGCTTATTTAGTTTAGCATAATACTCTCAATGTCCATCCATGCTGTTGCAAATGATAAGAGTACTTTCTTTCTTTCTTTCTTTTTTTACAGCAGCATAGTATTCTATTGGAGATGTACCACCATTTTTTAATTCACTCATCTGCTGATGGGCACTTAGGCTGTTTCCAAATCTTAGCTATTGCATATTGTGCTGCTATGAACACAGGGATGCATATATCCTTTCTGATTGGTGTTTCTGATTTCTTGGGATATATTCCTAGGAGTGAGATTGACTACTGAGTCAAATGGGAGTTCCATTTTTAATTT